GGACTAATACCACACCGACCAACTGTCACAACATTCAAACTGCTGCGGATATTCTGTATCATAGCAACGAAACTTCTCAACGGAAAAAAACGCTGCGCTGCCAAACCGCTCTCAAGCGCCCAAAGCACGGCGTCTTCAGCAGAGCGTCTAGCGTTTTCAGCTGGCTAAAAACGCTTTGGTGGACACACGGCCTAAGAAGAAAAGGTTCTATATAGAACCTTAAAATGTTCTATTAGCACTATGTATTTGGAACCCCTAAAAGGTTCTATACAAAAGGGTTCCTCTGGGTTCTATATAGAATCCTGGGGTTGCATACTTGGCCAATAGAACCTTTTACCAAAAAAAATGGTTCTATATAGAGTTCCATATATGAAGCGGGGGATGGAACCATTTCTGGTTCTAAATAGAACCATTTCTTCTAAGAGTGTATGACAGGATCTAGCCTGGTTAAAAACAGACCATTCTCAGTTGTAAAAGAGTTATGGTTTGGCAAAGCGTCATAGACAAATCATTTCCAGAGGGGCGTCACCAACGGACGTCGCGGATAGACCTGAAACCAATCAGAGCGATGAAGGAGATGACGTATGCAGAGCGGCGGCTGGTGGAGAAACACCTCCGAGTGTTGTTCTTTGCTCAGTTTTTTACAAAAAGGAAACGTTCAAATCGTTTAAAACAGACGCGATAGCTGATTCGAACGAGTGATGTTCAACGGCGGTGTCCATCTTTGTAATGTCAGCTTCAAAATCCTAGCGCTGTCGTCATCGTGTAAAGCCCGCCCCAACATTTCTGATTGGTGCTTCGATTCGATCAGAGCAAATCTAAATTTGACGCTGACGTAATGTTGAAGTTACCGCCTCGAAAGGGAAAATCTCCAGTTACTATCGTATCCTCGGTTCCCTGGGAGGCGTGAACGAAACATTACGTTAGTTAGCTACCGGGCTCGCTGTTTTGTCAGCTGTACTAGTTCAGACTCGTGATTCTGACGTATTTGTCGCGCACATGCATTTTAGACTGCCCACGAACCTGTCAGTATTTGCATACTTCGCGACAATAGAGTGCCGAACTTATGACGTCACTTTGTAGGACAATTTGGAAGTTAGCGGCGCATGGGTTCCCTCGATCGAAAAGCTACGCATTTTCCCCAAAGACTTTTGGAAAAAAAAATCGCAAAAAATGAGATCTAGGTTCAACAAAGAGTTGTGACCCTCACACGTTTTGTCTATCAAGATAATCTTTACAAGTTAATCCAAAATGTATACATTTTGAAGCCTATATAAAGTTTAAAAAACACAAGCAGACACAAACCTTATTTCAGGCGATTCAGCAAAAACCCATTAAAAAAACCCATAGACTTGCTAAAATGCTAACTCACTTCCGCGTTTTAGCCTACAAAGTGACTTCATGACTTCGGCACTCTATTGGCCAGCTGTCCCCACCTGGCGTTAGCCAATAAGATTTCAGCGAAACTGGAGAAGGGAGGAGTTCCCATATACTTCACACTGACGTAAAGTCTCGTTCCTGCCTCTCAGGGAAACACGGTTACGATAGTAACCGGAGACATTTTGGATTGTGCCTTTAAGCAAAGGAGATGGGATTTTTTTTTTATTCCATAATAATAAAGTTTAAAAGACAGTTTTCCAGACAAGGTTTTTGTCTTTTAATTTATTTTTTACCTTGTTTTCTAAATAAGTCTAAACTCTTTGGCTTTGAGGACTGTTATTTTTCAGCACTGTTCATTTCTTAATCTCGCCAAAGGAATAAATACATGAAACAAGGAAATTTAAAGTGAAAGCTCAGAAAAAGCCAAAGGCATCAGCCTCCCCTTAGGCCAAATGGAAAGGATCCAAACTTACTTTCAAGGAAGTTTTCTTCATTAGTATTGAGGTGAAGAATCGTTCAAACACATTTCTATAGTAACTGGGAATGTATTGAATGTGAAGAATACGACAGAAAAAGTTCCTCTGGTTTTTTTTTGCGTGAGTATACAAATGTTGTAGACCCGCATAGCAGGAAACTCAAGAGAGTGATTTGCATAATTGCACCCTTCATTTTAGAGCCTAAATGAAAAGTCACGTCATACTGAATCTCTATTTCAAACCATTAAAAAACAGTCAGTTACGACCTTTAATTCAAGATAAATATTACAATTCGATTACTAAAGATGTGTCTACGCTTTGAAGTTTTTAAATCTGAGTTACCAGAGGATTTAGAAATGTTCATCATTGTGTGACTTCTCAATATTACAGAGATTAATTAAGATATTCTGGCAGTGGACAGACTGAAGGATTCAACATGTATAGTTTTCCAATCATTGGACACTTGTTTACAACGGATATTAATATCTATGTTAGGTGATCCGATCACAAGAAGTCTGAGACATTGTTCAAACCTCTGTATGAATTTATCTCATCACTTGTGATTGGATTTTATTGAGGGTTTATGATGGTGTGATTGTGTAAATATATTAATAAAAATGCAAATACGCTTACAGAAATATACATTATTAAAAGGCATCCGATATCGCATATACTTGAACAAAGCCAAAATATTCATCAATTTAAAGTACATTATAAACAGAAGGTCTTATCGCAATACATGTCGGAAATGGTTTAATTTTGCGAGTTGTATTCATGTATTTTTGTTAATATTACCCTGTAGGTATTCTGATTACCATTGTTGGTATTTTCATAGATGTATCCATGTGTTTATAATTTGTTTTATTTTACCTTGTAGGTATTTAAGATATGTTTTGTTTTGGTATTGTTTTGCCTTTGATGAGGGAGAAAGGGTTCCCCTTCTTTCCTTTCTCATGTTTTCATATATGTACTTAAATTCAAAATTGTCATTGAGTGTTATGATAATGTGTAAGGAAGCAACTATTATGGTTTTGTTTTGTTTTTCCTGTTATTGGCAACCGGGGTGGGTGCAAATAAGTTTGACTTCTATCCACTCCGTTTCGAGCATTAGGTTTTGTTAAAGTTGATGTAAATATGATGAATTTAAAGACTTGTACAGACTAACCAAAATGCTTCATATTGCCTTGTCATGTGTAACTACATATTGCTCGAAATAAACAAACAAATAAATAAATAAAATAAATAAAAAAATACTTCCCTATATTGTAGGCAAAATAACAATGTGAAAAAAAGAACAAAAAATATTGCAACTGCAAATTTATAAAAACTTACTGCAACACTTTATTAATTCATTCAGCATCTGTTTAAGTTTTGTCATATATACATCCATTCTTCTTTTCATACTATAAAAATATTAAACCCCTTAAGGAAACATGGTATTTAAATGTTGTGACTCTTGTAAACTGTTTTTGGTGTATTATAAATGTTATTTCACTAAATTAAATTAAGATCTATTACAGAGCATAAATATAAGTAATAATGCACTATACAAAAGGTGAATATTATTTAGTAATAATTAGTTAGAAAATCAAACAACTACAATTAAATATATTGATGTTAAAACCATCTAAAATGAATCGTCACCTCTAATGTTACGATTATAGCCCTTTGTGTTTAACTTTGACACACAAAATAACTAAATTAATAAATCGTGTCTGTAATGCAGAAATTATAATTCTTCAATAGATCGAATGGAGATTGTTTGAAATCCATTCACTATCAAACTCATTTACAAAACAAATGTTTAAAGATCTGTGACTGAAGATCACTAAAGGTATCATATGTAAAGAAAAGAAAAGAAACTAGATTTGGAGGAATGTTGCTTAACCATGAACAAACTGCATTATTGCATATGGTAATAATTTGCCCAAGGGGATGCTGGGACATTAACATATGTCTGTAACGTTAACACATGAACTACATTTTGCAGTAGTATCCTTCATATCAGGATTTAAAGTCAACATGAAACAAATCAAATCTGATTTCAGTCAATTGACATTTACAAGAAAAGCAGGATATTCAACTATAAAAACATCAGATAGCTTTTGGAAAGGAGCATTTAATAATGTGGATAACTAACACAAGGACTAGAAGGAAAGTGCACTTAACTGTCACCGTCCCACAGGTGGGACGTTTGCCACTATATTTTTAAAACAATAATATCTTAGTAAATACCTTAAATAATATTGACAAACTATATATCATTTGAAAGCTTACAATCTCTAGTTTCCATATTTGGTGACTGATTTTCAAAATATATTACAGAGGAGCCATAATTTATCAATATAAAACAAGAATATTTTCATACTCATAAGGCGTGTTCAGACCTTTATTTTAAAATAGCAGTAAACATGAAAAATCATGAAAAAATAGTAGATACCTCAGTTTGTTTTCATGCCAAAAGTTCAAAATATAGAATCCATTCAATTATTTTGGAAAAAAAAGGTCTGAAAAGTTTGAAATATCAAGAAAAAAATAATAAATTCACCATTTGTGACGTGGCAGCTAGCTATGACTTACATGCGTGTTCTTTGTATGTGTTTCTTAGAGGTTCAATTCATATCAAAATCTGCCAAACTTCCCATGCTACTTCTGAATAGGATCTCTACTTCAGAAATTGTATGAAAATTGTGAAAATAATGGTTCATATCACTCAAAACACGAATGGAAACGCAGGCGCCCTTATATGGGCAGTAATGGAGTCTGATTGTGCCCTAGTGAAAAAGTTTGGTACTGCGCTCAAACAAAATCTTACTGAAAGCTCATTTTTTGAGATATCAACCTAAAATTTGAAACACAACTTGTTCAGATTTTTGGCTTTGATCTTTCTGCCATTTTAGAGTAGCCCAGGTTTTGAAAATATATATTTTATGTAAAATATGAATAATTAATATTTTTACATTGTACATTTCCATAAACTCAAACTTCTATAACTTTTTTTTCTGTTTCACTTTCTTAATTTATTTCACTTCTACAAAAATCTGCCAAATGTCTTCTTTAAAACAAGACCAATCATATGTCTATATTCCAAAGCATTCTTGAATTACAACCATTTAAGTTCGAAATGTGCATTTTCATGTCTATTCAAAAAAGGGGGGGTGACAGTTAACAGGTTAAAAAAGTAAATAAGATAAATTTTGAATTCATGTTGACTTTAAAAACGAACATTCACTCCTCAGACGTAGAGTCACCCAGCCCTCATTATGAAAATAAAACCTCCACTCCTGGTTCCTTGCGAATGCTATTTCCTCTTGCGTTACTCCGTCCTGACTGGTGGAGGCGTCAGTCGGTGACTTCGCTGTAGTAGTATTTCTGCGCCGTGTCGCTGAGAGTCCAGCCTCCCGCGCGAAACTCCAGGATCTCCAGCAGGAGCAGACGACCCATGGAGCTCAGGTCCTCCTGCAGGAGAAAGCCGTCCCTCAGCAGATTGAACAGCTCGTCCATCAGCGGCGCGTTCATCTTCTCCAGCTGATCTCCCACACGGTGCAGCTGCAACACCAGACAGTCCAGCTGAGAGAGAGAGATTAAGATCAAACACTCCTAAAACCAACAGATGAATGATGGAGAGCTGATTAATATTTTTGGTATCTGAACAACTAAATAATTGGTGTGTCACGAGTCAGGGCCTGAAATTAACACCCAAATGCGGGTGAATTTTGCTATTGGCGGGTAACACCGTCAATCTACCTGCCACATTGGCAGGTAGCCAATGAGAATGTGAGTGATTCATTAGGATTTTTACATTTCAACGAAGTCCGCTATAGAGAGCCTAAGTCCCGCCCCTCTGCTTCCGGCTCATGGGACCTTATTTCGGAAAAAATATGAATGGTAGTCAATGGCGAGAGACAACTTATCTTTTTATTCCGTCTGAACTGTGCCCTGAATTACACATATGATGTTTGTCAATTTAAAATATAATTCTGAAAGTCAAAAACGTCGCAGTTTGTCATAAAACAGAAGAGCAACATTTAGTTTTATGTGAAAATCGATCTGTGAACTACATCTCCCAGAAGCGAAACAACGAGCGAGATCCGCTGCTCGTGTGTGTGCGCGGTCTGGAACAAAACACTCAGGCATCCCAGATAGCAAACTGACATTGAATCAACGTGGAAACATGACATAGAAACAACGTTGATCTGACATTGTTTTGCTCATCGAATTAACGTTGAACCAACGTCAGACGCGTCATTCTTTCAAAACTAACGGAAAATCAACTTGAAATCAACGCGTTGTTTCAACGTTATGAAAGCAAACCAATTTTCGATTTTCATTTAGCTTTGAAGAATGCCGCGTCTGACGTTGGTTCAACGTTAATTCGATGAGCAAAATCAACGTTGTTTCAATGTCATGAGAGACGTCGTTTCCACGTTGATTCAATGTCAGTTTGCTGTCTGGGATGACGGCGAAACGTTACGATTATAACGTAAGACTATAGAAACAATGACAGACATTAGCCTCAGTAAAGTTAGCTTCATTCATTGAGAGAAAATGTGTGCCTTTGGGGTTTGTAGTCTTTGTAATTACGTATTTTCACAGTCTTATACCTCAACGGTTTTACATCAAACTGCGACTTTCTTTACTTTAAAATGTATCTTTTAAATTGACAAACATCATATGTGTAATTCAGGGCACAATTCAAACAAGATCAAAATATTTGTTGTCTCTCGCCATTAGGGTTGGGTATCGTTTGAATTTGAACGATTCCGATTCCGATTCCTTGTTTCGATTCCAGTTCCTAACGATTCTCGATTCCGATTCTTTTAAGAGGCAGGGTCAAAAAAGTTTAGCTAACCTTGCTAACCAACGGCCTTTCTGGAGGAAATACTCCTGTCACAAATGCTCCTTTTGTCACAAATTTAGCATTTTGTCGAGATTTCGTTATTTTTAGAAAAGTGAAGGCACACTTTGGACCGCTGACGTAAGCTACTAATGTTCGACTCGCGCGGTTATGCCAACACTTCCGGTAGACGCTTCTACGTTGGTGTTGTTCAGCGGTTTCTTCTTCCGCTTGGCGGACTGTGAATATCGAAACTAGGAATCGAAATTTTAACTTTTGAACGATTCCGGGAAAAACGAAAAGTTAGTCCCGGTTCCAATCGATACTCGATTCTCGATACCCAACCCTACTCGCCATTGACTACCATTCAATACTTTTCCGAAATAAGGTCCCATGGTGGTCGACCGGAAGGGAAGGGACTCAGGCTCTCTATATTGCGTTGGACTTTAGCTAAAATATGGTGGCACATTACTGGGGTAAAGAGCTGAAACAAACAGCCAACAAAAAGATGAGGATGAGAAAAAGAAGACATTTTAATAGAAAGTGAACAATCGGCGGCAATGGCAAGGTTCGTGAGCGGCTGATTTATGACAGCGACTGTTGTTTCGTAACGTTCATGCGATCAGAAAGAAGACAAGGCCCTTTTTCTGACTACGTTTGGATGTGCGAGTATTAAACTGTTGGTGAGATAATGTAACGCTGACGTAGGCTACAGTACAATGACAGTTGCACAGATGTCCCAGATAGCAAACTGACATTGAATCAACGTGGAAACGACGTCTCTCATGACATTGAAACAACGTTGATTTTGCTCATCGAATTAACGTTGAACCAACGTCAGACGCGGCATTCTTCAAAGCTAAATGAAAAATCGAAAATTGGTTTGCTTTCATAACGTTGAAACAACGTTGATTTCAAGTTGATTTTCCGTTAGTTTTGAAAGAATGACGTGTCTGACGTTGGTTCAACGTTAATTCGATGAGCAAAACAATGTCAGATCAACGTTGTTTCGATGTCATATTTCCACGTTGATTCAATGTCAGTTTGCTATCTGGGGTGTGTGCGTGGGCAACTGTGCATGTTGGGAGTTGGGTAATTTTACCAGTAATAAAAGTATTAATTTAGCTCATATTTAACGGTATATTAGATATTTAGATATTTGACTGAACCGTTTAACTAAAAGCTGTGAAGAGTAAGACCTGTCTACGTGACTTCCGCCATCAACACAGCCGCGTGTGATTTGTTTTCCGAACTGCGGTAGGTCTATCTGTTGAGTATATACTATATTATAGCCTATACTATGTTGTGTGTGTGTGTCTGTCAAAATCAATGAATAAAAAGATTTTTAAAAATTTATGTTCTTAGAGTTATTATTACTTGACAGCACTCAAATGTGTATTCTTACAAGTTAAAGAACAATATTGTGAAATTCCAGTTTTTTTTTTACGTTTATGAGGCAAAAATTAAAATAAAAATGGCTGGTAAAAAGTCTCTGTGGCAGGTGAATTTTTAAATCCACCTGCCACAGTGGCCGGTGGCCGAAAAGGTTAACTTCAGGCCCTGGTCACGTCGATACCCTCATGTCCCGATATCTTCCCCCCCATGTTGTGGTTCTTGACTCTGCACTAGTGTTGCTTTCGTCAACGAAAATTATGACTAAATATCATCGTCAACTAACCTTTCCCAGACAGCAAACTGACATTGAATCAACGTGGAAACGACGTCTCTCATGACATTGAAACAACGTTGATTTTGCTCATCGAATTAACGTTGAACCAACGTCAGACGCGGCATTCTTCAAAGCTAAATGAAAATCGAAAATTGGTTTGCTTTCATAACGTTGAAACAACGCGTTGATTTCAAGTTGATTTTCCGTTAGTTTTGAAAGAATGGCGCGTCTGACGTTGGTTCAACGTTAATTCGATGAGCAAAACAATGTCAGATCAACGTTGTTTCGATGTCATATTTCCACGTTGATTCAATGTCAGTTTGCTATCTGGGTTATCACGTGACGAAAACGAGACGAGACGAAAATGCTGGTCGTGTGACGATGACTATAACTAAATGTATAATGCAGTATCGTTGACGAATAAAAACGAGACTAAATGTGGTTTACAAAAATAAAAACTATGCTAAAATGTCTCTTCATTTTCGTTGACCAAAACGAGACGAGACGTTATTTAACGTTATTTCGTCTCGTTTAGCCTACTTGCATTATTAGTATGCAGCATTTCTGTTTCCTGTGTCACTTCAGGGGCTGCATTAGATCGCACTGTGCAAACGCATGCGACTTCAAATCCTCAAGCCCCACTCGCGGCATTATTTAGAAGAAGCAGTTGCGTGAGTTACAGCTGTTTCACACACACTCCGTGTGTAGCGTGTATGCGTTTCATCATGTAGGCTACAAACATGTTTGGTTGGTTGGTAAAATAAATGTGTTGTAAATTCAATTCAGAGCGTCTTCCTGGAATCATTCTTGAGTCTATAAGGTAACAATAATATAAGAAGATAACCAGTGTTGGGTGTAACTAATTACTAAGTAATTAGTTACTGTAATTTAATTACTTTTCCCTTGAAAATGTAAAGTAAGGGATTACTCTTCATTTATCAGTAATTTAATTACAGTTACTCCTGATGTAATTGAGGTAAATACTGTGTATAGATCAATCTATACACAGCGATTCGTATGCTTTTTTGAGGTGTCTAAATTGTACGACCTGTACAAATTCGTATGAATTATTGTAAAATTTGTATGAAAAAAAGTGTGAAATGTCATGAGATCAGACAGAAAACAATAGTGGGTTTAATCCCATCAAAAATGTATTGTCTGATGTTAAAAAGTATGTTTTTATAATGTAACCTTCTCTACTTTTTAAGTTTAAGAATAATTGCAATTTTATAGTATTTATTTGAAAGAATTAAAACCGATTCATGTCTATCCTTCTATTATTCAGCTGGTTGAGATTGATATGGGATTTTAAAAGTAATTAGTAATTAAAAGTAATTAAATACTTTTTGGAGAGAGTAATTAGTACAGTAATCTAATTACACTGTTGAAGAGGTAATTAGTAACTAGTAATTGATTACTTTTTTAGAGTAACTTACCCAACACTGAAGATAACTATAAGAAGATAAGATTGTTTGAAATGGGTTTGGCTAAAAGAAAAAAATTGGTTTCGTCTATAGGCTAGCCTACTACTAGGTAGGCTTCTTATATTGGGTTAAATAGAATTAGCTACTAAAAAGAGACTAAAATACAATTTTCATTGACTAAAACTAGACTATGTCTTTCGTCAACTAAAACTAGACTAAAATGTCATCGGTTTTCGTCGACTAAAACTAGACTAAAATGTCATCAGTTTTCGTCGACTAAAACTAGACTAGACTAAAAAGAGTATGAACATGACTAAAACTAACAAAAACTAAAATGTCAGCTTGACACAAAGACTACTAGACTAAAACTAAAATTAAAACAGGCCGCCAAAAACAACACTACTCTGCACAATATCTTCTCTCCTCCAGGGCTCATTCAGGCATGCAAATCTCACAAACCTCCTGCCTCCAGCTGTGTTATGCAAGGGCAAAATAAATACTTCTGGCGTCAGTGGTAAAATTGTTTCATTCCTGCAGCAGCAGAACAGGCAGAACAAGAAAACAACGCCTGTTCTTCTGTTGTGGGAGATGCCCCAATAAAGATTTGGGTGATAGGTGTTTATTGTTCTTTTGTTTGTGAATCTAAGGTTTTCCCTTTTCATGTTTGGTA